GGAAGGAAGGAAGGAAGGAAGGAAGGAAGGAAGGAAGGAAGGAAGGAAGGAAGGAAGGAAGGAGCCGTCTGACTGGCAGTGAATCTGAAGTTCAGAATAGGAGGAACTGATTAATCAGAGACAAATATGAGAGAGAAGCTAAGGATGACTGTACTTCTTTTGCATTTTCTTTTAAAAATCACCCAGCAGAGAGAACAAGAGGCTTGTCAGAGAGGATGGTTATGACATCAGCCTTTAATTTAATCAGCATCCAAGGGTGTGCCGACATCAAGACAATGGGGCCCGGTGTGAGAAAAGGCTGAGAATGGCAAGTCCAATGAGGCAGCAGTGTTAAAGCGTTTAGGCCCAAATTGTTGAGTCTGCCGTGTGCCACAGATAAGGAATGTCAAAGCGGCAGAAATCATCACAGGCAAGGGTGGTGCGAAATCACAAGTGGGTGCGAAACCAAACTCAGTGTAACATGAGCCCAACTGAAGTGCTTGGTCACCATGGGCTAGAGAGCTGAAAGGTATGTCCACCCCACCCACCCCACACACCAGCTCTCCAAACCTGACACAATGATTATGATCATAGAATCATAGGATCATAGAGCTGGAAGGTATGTCCACCCCACCCACCCCACCCACCAGTTCTTCAAACCTGACACAGTGATTATGATCATAGGATCATAGAGCTGGAAGGGACCTCCAGGGTCATCTAGTCCATTGCTCTGCACAATGCAGGAAATACACAAATACCTTCCCCCCAAACCCCCAGTGACCCAGAAGATGGCAAAAAACCTTCAGGATCCCCAGGCAACTTGGCCTGGAGAAAAATTGCTTCCTGACCCCAAGTGGAGATTGGCATTTCCCTGGGCGTGTAAGAAAGGGTCACAGTGGGAGTAAAAACAGGCTGGCAACGGCGTCACATGATTAGACCACGCACCACGAATAAGTGAAATTGTGGCACACGAATTCACAAACGGTGAGAGTCTACTGTATTTGATAGTAATGGGTAACCTGTAATGGCATTTGCCTAACTGCAAAGTTGAGAAGCTTATGGGAATTCACAACCCAATGAAATGGAAGCATGCGATACCAATCCTAGCTACTGCTCCAGTTTCCAGTTTTGAGAGCCAGTTTGGTGTAGTGGTTAAGTGTGCGGACTCTAATCTGGGAGAACCGGGTTTGATTCCCCACTCCTCCACTTGCACCTGCTGATGTGACCTTGGGTCAGTCACAAGCTCTGACACAGCTGTCCTTGAAAAAGAGCAGTTTCTGCTAGAGCTCTCTCAGCCCCACGCACCTCACAGGGTGTCTGTTGTGGGGAGGGGAAGGGAAAGGAGTTTGTAAGCCGCTCTGAGACTCCAAGTGAAGGGCAGGGTATAAATCCAATCTCTTCTTCTCTTCTTCTTCTTATTAAAACATAGAAGCAGGTTGTTAGAATGACAAGGATTCTTTCTATCAACTGGATTTGGTTTGTTCCCCTCCTCCTTTATATTCAGTCGACCAAGCCAAGTTGACCTAAGCTTCTGTGGCCTCGTGGCTGCGCTACTGTAATGTGCTTCTTGTGGGGCTGCCCTTGACGACAACCTGGAAACTTCAGCTGGTTTTAAAAGTGGCAGCGTAATGATGGTTAGGGTCTAGTCAACAGAAATGTATACTTAGAGCTATGTTCTTCAATATAATTGCTGAATGCCCATTGAAGAACATAGCTGTAAGCATAGCCTCATGATGAAGTGAATCAACAGTATATTGCTCGTTGTCGAAAAGAACAGAAGAAGATCATTGTCAAAACGGCACACCATTCCGGAGACCACCGTCTACATTCACTATATATATTACTTAACTTCTGTTATTGTATATTATGATTTATGAATATATTACTAAGCGCTAAATTGTCACAGTTCTTTTTCCTTTTTTCATTGGTCTTATTACTGTGCCCATTCTTGTAACTATTTAAAGCAGCTACACCAGCTACCACTTCATTCCTGAGCTCAGTTCTAGATGCCGGTTATAACCTTTCAGACCTTGCCTACCTGAAGGACCATCTCTCTATGTGTGCCAGTAAGACTCTGCTGGTCATTGCCTTCTGGTCATCCCCCCTCCCCTTGGGAATGACCACCTGGTATCTATTAGAGCCAATAGTGGTCCTCATTTTAGAAAACAGGCTCAGTGACTTAGGAAGAGAGGGTGTGCTCTCTGGAAGTTTTTTACAAACTGTCGGATAGAGCATTTGCAGGACATGAGCTGTAGGCCTGGGAGCGCTGTAAAGTGTCTTTATGGGTGATGCATTTTATACTCAGGGGTTTGATGGAAAGATCTGTAAGCCATACTGTGCTGCAAAAGGAAAAGGTAGGTTTAATAAATCAACAAGAAGTAATATCAAAGGCGACGTTTCCTTACCTTGACACATACACTTCGGCTTGAGGACGTAGCCGCAATTCCCGTTGGCACTGAACTTGGCGCGGTTCACCTGGAGACTCCGCTCTGT